AATAACACAGAAAAATAGAGCTTCGTTTTCTCTATCATCTCATAAAAAGAGAAAATATCTTGAAGTCTTCTGTACAAAAACAAGGTACCTCCGCCACTACTTTTGGGTACCCCTAAGTAACATTTGTGATGTTTTTCGGTAGTAAAAATTCTTCACGTAATTGTAAAATGAATAATACAAATGACTTTTTAATGTCTTTTATTGAATTGATGATCTCTTCATTACAATTTCTTGAAAAACATGATGATGAATCATTATCATTTGATAAAGTTGAATCTGCTTCAAAATCGATAAAATCTGATTCGTAGTTCTCGTCATCCTTCATAAAATCACTTTCCATTGAAGTACCGACATTTTCTTGTTGTGAATTATCAGTAGAAATTGTACAGACATTGTTATTTTCTAATGCATGAAGTTCCAAAGAATGTTTTCGATATACATGTGATTTGTATGCGGAATATTTTCTGTAAAACACACCACATGCATTATGCAAATTACAAATGATTCCGAAATTAGGATCATTTTGATGGTAAAGTGTTACATGTCGAAACATTTTAGAGAAACTTGGAAAATCTCTATTTGTTGAACAAAGTGGACAGATAAATGGCGACATAAGATTTCGGTGTTAAACGTTTGAGATTACAAGCGAACGTTTCTGTCGGTTATATTTATATGTATATAATAACTAGAGAATTAGTTTTGTTTTCAATTTATCAATTTATTCAAATAGTATTTATTTCTTAAACGACATGAAAAAAAACACAAACTGATACAAGCCAATGAAATATAAACATTCGAAGCTATCTATTTTTCTTTCGTGTTAAACGCGCACCTCTACTGGAGTAAACAAAAACGAAAGAAGAATTGTAAGAAAAAAGATAAACAAACACAATTTAATGTCTATATTCTAAAATATCGATTATCGAGGCACCGATCAAAACGCAAAGTGAAATTCAGCGCAGAACTATCTTGAAATAACGAAAAAAAGAACAATTCTATCTAAATAATAAAAACGAACTAACCTTCAATACGTGTTAAAATTGCGTCATCATTAATGAAGGTTTTACACCATCGAATCACTTGTTCACAAGACCAATCCATTCGTTAAAGATAGAAAATGAAATAAGAAGAAAATAATGTGATAAAGAATACGGTGTAATATCAATCAGTTATCTGAAATTTCACAAAATAATCATTATATATAATCATAGAAAATAACAATGCGGGAAAACCAGACTGCATTAATAGAAAAGAATATCACCAAATTTTTCTTTTCTTCATTTTTATATTGAGGGACGACTATATTCTGTATTGTATTGTTCCTGTGAGTTTCATCTAATCGAAAAACAATTCAATAGATGGTGACAGCACTAGCGTAATACTTTTAATCTTTATTAATATTACCTATACAACCGAGCTTTTCTTAATGATTGAAATTATTTATTATGAGCAAAACTTCAGGAAAAACTAATTTTAATTGATTTTCTACTTAGTTTCTCCTGATATATTTCTATATATCTAACAATCTCATATACTATGTATTTTGGTCACTAATAAATATCGATTTAAAAAATTGAAATTCGTGTAATGAAACAGGAAAATGATCCATTTCAAAGTATAAATGATAAACCCTTTCCAACAATATCGTGTAAGGATATACCCTTTCGCGGAGGATGATAAACCTTTTGCATCAGAATACGCCATGATATACCCTCTCATGGAGGATGATAAACCCCTTCCAGCAATATCCTATCTGGATATACCCTGTCACGAAGGATGATAAACCTTTTGCATCAGAATACGCCATGATATACCATCTCATGGAGAATGATAAACCCTTTCCAACAATATCGTGTCTGGATATACTCCTTTAAAGAGAATAATAAATGCATTGTAGACAAATGTGCCAGGATATACCTTTTGTTAGAGAATGAGAAATCCTGTCCACCAACAGCATGCAAGAATATATCCCTTCACGAAGGATGATAAACCTTTTACATCAGAATAGGTCAGGATATACCCTCTCATAGAGGATGATAAACCCTTTCTATCAATAGTGTACAATAATATACCCTTTCCAACAATCTCGTACTAGGATATACCTTTTCATGGAGGATGATATACTCCTTCTAATAGAACATGTGTATACCACATTCCGTTCAGTACAGTAACAAACCCTTTTGATTAAGACGCATAATACTGAACCCTTCCACGCAGATTAATAAATACACCGGGAGAAAACATACAAGGATCTACCCTTGTCCGTAGAGTATTGGGCTATGTAGTGAAAACGTAGAATGATATGTCGTGAAAAGTAGAAGAATATACGTATTCATGTAAGAAGTAGTATAATAAACGTAGACTAGAATATTAAGATACCCTTACTCAGAAGACGTACAATAATCTATCTATTTTGATTGAACAACATATTATCATCTTGGTATTGCAGGATAATAAACCCTTATATGACTGTTATATACGGTTCTAATTTTGATAAACTTCCAGATTCATAAACGGTTTGTGTATTAAACCCTTAAAGGGTTCATCAGATGGTTATATACCCTTGAAGGGTTTATAGACACTTTTCTAAAGGGCAAGGGTTTATCATTATGCGGATTTTTTTTTCAGTGTACCTAGTTGATCAGTTTTCATAGTTTTTCTTTCATAACACCCTCCTTTCAGTTGACCAAACAAGAATCATCCGATTAGTCGACGCTCGCTTTTACGGAACTGGACAAAGCTAAAAAGCGTTATGTGTTACTTTTCTTCTTATATCTCCGCCTGAAAAAACGAAACTGCATTTAAAATCTCTAAGTTTAAGAACGCAATGCTGCATAAACAAAATTGGAGAATAGGCCGACTCATCGCGAAATCTTAGCAGAAGATATAAACTTCATCTAACTCTTATAACGAAAGACAAGAATCGATCAATTTTTGGATAGGTTTATTCAGTCAACATAACTATAAAAAACACCACATGAAAATCCAACTCTAACTGTATGACAACACATACAGTCGCAGGGGCATTATACTATGTATTTAATCTCAATCGACAGACACGCAGTGCCTTATATATCAGCTAAGATAAAACTAATTGAACATTACTCACACTGCGGAGCATTTGGTAATCACAATCCCTTCAATCAGCCACTTTCGACGACTTGACTTTGCATCTGACGTCTTACACAACATAGCTCTACTTTAGTGGAACCGTATGCTTCAAAGCATCCTCAACCACACCCACCCACTCTCACCCTCAGCCCCCATAGTATAAGATCTGAGGACTCAGGTTCTTGTACGTGTTTCTTCTGACTTACATAGACTTTTATAAATCGTGTTCTTTTTAACTTTTGACTGGTAACATACACACATACATACATACAAACGAATTTCAGTTTTTGACTCATCACCCTCCGTTCAGTCGACGAAACGAATATTCGAATAAATGTATCACCATATACAGGATAAAATCGGAAAGTTTTTTTTATCAAATTAAAGCCCGTGAAAAGCTGCATCTACCAGTGGCATTAAAGTAGATGTTGCCTTAGTGCTTCATAAAATATCTTGCACAATATATTATAAATGTCATGGATCACACGATGTTGAGCCTACCCACGAGAAAAAAAAGGCAGAAAACCGCTCCCAATCAGCGGTTTTTGAGACCGCGGTTATCGACGGTTTTTTTCATCGGGGAAGTCAGACCATTGACGAAGGTGCCAAAAACCGCGGTTTGGGGCGGTTTATGAAAACTTCATTAATGGTCTGATTTCCGCGGTGAAAAAAACCGCTGAAAACCGCGGTTTCGAAACTCCACACACCTGAGTTCATCCAAGGTGAACCAGGTTACCCTCTCCATCCTCAGAGAGGTTGCTCTTCGAGGGGCTTTGCAGGAACTTTTCAAGTCCCATTGAACTCGTATGTCATTTTTAATGACTGAGCCACACAAGAAGATTTGTGCAAAAAGTTACGACAAAGCAGGGCATGACATCCTCTAAGTCTTTACACATTCAGTTTTTGATTGATGAACCGCGTTCGTAAGCTAGTACACCGCGGTTTTGTGAAATCAGTTATAATCGCGATATGAGAAAAACGCGGTTTCTGGCATTCACACGGCGGTTTTATGAAAACAGTTATAACCATAATATATGAAACGACGGTTACTGACTACCACACCGCAAAATACAAAACCGCTGGTAATCACAATATGTAAAACTGCGGTTAATAGTTGGTACATCGCGGTTTACTATTACCGCTGTCCTAAAAAACCGGCGCTAACAGTGGTTATTAAGATCACACCGCGGTGTGATAAAATACCGCTGATATCAGCAGTTTCACTAAAAAACTTTTCCCGTGGGTTGTTAACGAGAATACTGCAGCCTTTGTTATGCATGTCTTTCGCTAGTGGTAGGTCGGAAATTGAAAAGTTTTAAAAGAAGGGATAGACAATAATCGGATCAATTTCAGTCGAGGGTCAAGCAAGGAGGAAAGAGCGAAAACCTGTCAATTTGGATTCCGACAGATTCCTTTGGATCCTTACAAAAACAAATATACTTTCTTAAATCTATAAGTAAACCCTTTTGAGTCGAATCAATTATTTTAGAAAATACCTTTAATAAATTCATTTTTACGTACATTTATCGAAAGATAAATGCACTCATTGATCTTTTCGGTATGAGCTACCATTCTTTTTCTTTTCTTACTTGTATCAGTATATAGACGGTCCTTTTTCAGGTGTAGCTGAATAATTATTCATGTTTGCCTTTCTCTTTCTTGTACGTATTACTCACTAGGAATAATATAACAAAACGAATTTTCGATTTTTTTCTTTTGCATTCTTTTCGAAGCATTATCTTTGGTTCTTTCTTTTCATTTGTATCAAAACAATTGAAGTTTGGATCTGATTTACATGTCGTCTGAAGAAACCGATTCTGAAGACAGCAGGAATTCACAAAGCGATGTCAGTTCTTTGGATGATGATTTTGCTAGAATGCAATTTGAATCATCAAGTTCCGAGGAAGAAATTTCTGATGATGACCGTGATTCACAAGTTTGGAATGAAATAGAATCAGAATCGGATGCTGAATTTCAGGAGGATCATGGAATTGTCGAAGAAGTACCGACAACTTCAGAAGATAATACAATCAATCCTATTGATTGCTATCGACATTTCATTACCGACGAAATTGTTAGCCTCATGGTGCATGAAACTAATCGATATGCAGAACAACATTTACAAACCAAGGAGCTTAGCAAACGATCACAAACTCTTCAATGGAAATCAACTACTAATGAAGAGATGCTTCAATTTTTGGGAGTTGTTATTCAGATGGGATTGGTACAAATACCGAAAGTGGATTACTATTGGAGCAAAAGCAAGTTGTATGGATCCGCAGTCATTCAAAATACAATGTCAAGAGATAGATTTGAATTACTTCTCAAATTTTATCATTTTTCTAACAATGAAAAGAAGCATGCAGACCAGGGTGAGGGGTGTGAGGGTGAGGGTGAGGGTGGCGGGTGTGAGGGTGGGGTGTGGGGTGAGGGTGAGGATGTGGGTGAAAATCAGCTGGGCGACTGGGTGTTGGTGGGAATGTAAATAAGCTCGGTGACCGGATGTTGGTAGAGATGGGTGGGTGTGGTTGAAACTGAGCTGGGTGAGCGGTTGTGAGTAGAGATGGGTTTGTGTGGGCGTAGATGAGTGGGTGCCATTGAAAATCAGCTGGGCGATTGGTGTGGGGGGAGATTAGTTGGTGTCGGTTGAAATTCAGGGCAAATGGGTGGTTGTGTGTAAAAATGAGCTCGATAGGTATCAACAGGTGGATGCGTTTGGGTACTCGTGAAAATGTGGTTGGAATAGGGTGAGTCAAAACGGACGCATTAGTATGAGTGAAAATTAATGGATTAGTTTGGGTGAAAATGAACCGGATGAGTGGAAATAGGCTTGATAAGATATTGTGCCGATAGGCACATCGAGAGTTATATAATCTTACTACGGTGTTGTGTATGCTTCTACGTCATCTTTCTCTATTCATCTCACTATTGGCTCACGCGGAAAATCCCTGTCTTGCACAGTCGAGGTAAAGAGAGTCGGCACGCCAAGTATTACTCGTTTCGTAATGAAATAATGCTTGAAAAATGTCTCAAAATGCGCATAAACTGTAGTTTAACACCAAATTTCTTAGATACGTCTCAGATGACCTGTAGTTTACGTTTCTAAAATGCTTGATTTTGTAGGTAGTCAGAAGGGCTATCAAAAGAGAAAACCCTGATCTCCGTAGTCATTCATATAGAAGATTTATTATGAAAATTCGGTATGTGTTTCTATCATAGATCTTTTATAGATTGATGCGGTTGCATATGACGGTTATTCCGATAGATTCAAACACAAAAATTGATACAAAAATAAGTCATCAGAAATCTTGCTCATCGAAAAATTTCTCGTGGTAATTTTGATGCGTAGACATTCTAGAATGGTTCATCTCTCTCATACACTTTTTGCAGTAAACGTAACTCTCGGATAAAATCCGAAGTCTCCGCATTTATTTTTTCTCTTTTTTTGTAAGCACTTCAGAGTGTCACATAACTAATAAATGCAATATCAAAAAAAAAGTACGATGTATCCGACACATCATTCTTTGTGATGTAGGTGGTTCTCTAATCCGAATGTTGGCGCAATGGTTCGAGTTTCAACTTTAAAATTCGTCGAAATATTAGTATCTAACAGAGTAATATGATACCCCAAAAGCTTAGTGAAGAGACTCTTTTTTTCATCGAATAGCAGTGTTCTCGGTATATAAAAGTAGCTTCCACTAGTCCGTAAGCACACACATACACATACACTGTTTGTCATCATTTCAAACTGCAATATGTATTCAATACTTCACGTCGCAATCAAGCTTCTTCTTTGTATAGGTGAGATATTTCTGAATCCTCAAAATGATTTAGCACATTTATCGAGAAGAGTTTCAGAAGGTATTTTGAAAAAATATAAGGACATTATGTAAACATGAACGGAGTCAAATTTTTTTGGTTTCGTGTTCTTCTTTTACTTTCATTCTGACCATATTCCAAACGGATATAATCCGTTGCCGCTACAACTGAAGATACAAGAGTGACGGTAACAGAAATTTCTATTTTCAAACACATTCATTTGCACCATTTCTACGTCACGATTGTATTATCTTTGTCAACCAAAATTAGGAGCACACTGCTAGTAACTCTTGATCCCAATCTTGACAAAACTTTGTTAGGGTTCATTAGTGTTGATGTTCTTGTCTTAAGTGAGTTCAATATGTTTTATTGAACAACAACAAACACCACAGAAAAAGACAGACAGAGAAAAAAAGGTGAAGAAAACAAGTGAAAGAAGAATCCAGGGAGAGAGAGAGAACATGTATATATATACTAATATATATATATGTACGCAATAGTCGTGTGTATGACTATTGGTCATGTGAAGAATAACAAGGACCTAGACAGAAAAGAGAAAGAAGAAAGTAGGTCAAAATAGGAAAAGATGAAATGTAAACTATATCACCAACAATTAGTATCGACTTTAAAAATCATTATTCGGATAACCGTTTCTTGACATATTCGGTCGATGTATGTCATTTCTTTGATTTATTCTTATCGCTGAATAATCTACCCCTTACACTGAGACTAACTCAGTTTTCGTCTTTCCCGGCCAATATATCAGTTGTTCTTTCACAAAAATTGAGAGCACATCAAGTGCAACTCCTAAACTACAAAAACGGATCCTCCGACCACCAATCTAAAGATCGCGCGTTCTTCGAATATTTAGCAATCTATCCAAGCAACAATGTCGCTGCAGCCACAACACAAGTAACAATGCTTGAGACTAATCCCTACGAATATGGCCAAAACATTACCTATCTTGTGACCGGAGTCTTAGGTAAATGTATATGGGGAACAAACATATATACCGATGATTCTAATCTTTCAATGGCTGCTGTTCATGCTGGGATCCTTCGTGTAGGCGAAACAAAAAACATCACTATTCAGATCTTACCAGGTCAAACTTACTATCAGGGCTCCACGCAAAACGGTGTCACATCTTCCTCATTCGACTCATGGACTGGAAGTTACTCCTTTTACACGTCTTCACCTTGTACTTACTGCACTACACCCACAATGAGCGCGACGCCTGCTGCAGCAATTAATTCCACAAACACTTCGTACACTACCCTAACGCCTGATACTACAATGTATACCACGAACAGCTCTCGCACAACTTCCACGTCGGTAACTCTGACAAATTATCCAAACGCATCACTTATAGCTACGCTGCCTGCAACAGCGCCAAATAGCACGAACACCTCATACGCACCTTTGACGCTTCCAACTGCGACAAACTCCCAAAACGCATCATACTCAACTTCGACAACCAACTCGCAAACAATTTCGACGTCAGACATTGCAGCGCATTCTACAACTGTTTTATCAATAATTACTACTTCCAGTTCTGCACAAGTTACAGCGATAGCTTCAACTACAGTTCAGACCTCTAGTGTTGGAAATCATTCCAACAGCAATTTCACAGTAACCACATTGCCTATTTCCTCAACAAACTCGACGGCCATCTCAAAACCAACTGTCACATCCAGCGCATTAGAGAGCTCCACAGTTGCCACTACTCTTGGTACTTCAGTAAACCTCGTAAATTATCGTGACAAAGTTGGACAAAATCTCTTTTTCACTATCACTGGTGCCGTCGGTGGGTCCATTTGGGGAACAAACATTTATACTGATGATTCTAATCTGGCAACAGCAGCAGTCCATGCTGGCATTCTCCGTGTAGGTCAAACAAGCACTATCATTGTCAAAATCTTGCCCGGTCAATCTTCTTACACAGCATCGAATAGAAATGGAGTGAACTCATTTTCGTACGGCTCGTGGATAGGCAGTTACTCATTTGTTAGTGTCGCCTCCACAACATCAACCAACGTTGCATCAACGACGACTACACCCTCACCCACAACCGTTTCCACAACTACGTCGACTACAACAGTCAAGTCTAGTTCCGTAGGCAGTTCTACAACTCACGTTGTGCTAGCAAGTACAGCAAACCTCGTAAATTATCGTGACAAAGTTGGACAAAATCTCTTTTTCACTATCACTGGTGCCGTCGGTGGGTCCATTTGGGGAACAAACATTTATACTGATGATTCTAATCTGGCAACAGCAGCAGTCCATGCTGGCATTCTCCGTGTAGGTCAAACAAGCACTATCATTGTCAAAATCTTGCCCGGTCAATCTTCTTACACAGCATCGAATAGAAATGGAGTGAACTCATTTTCGTACGGCTCGTGGATAGGCAGTTACTCATTTTTTGGTGTTGCGAGATAGAGATCAGTATCTTTTTTTTTAAATTTTACCCTGGGGTGATCTTTATTTTGTTTTGGTTGCTGATCAATAAAAAGAAGGAAAAGCATTAATATAAAATGGACATACTGAGGACGTATGAGTCCTGCTTTTTGTTGTTTGGGAGGAGCGATTTCGTGACGAAATACTTAGCCATTATTGAGCAGTATAAAAAACAGAAAAGAGGAGAAAATAATTATGAGAGAATGGGAGTAAAACGGGTAAGTGAATGGATAGCGAAATAGGCTGAGAAAGACTTACTATGTTTGACGATGGTCGATGCAAGAATTTTCTTACTGTAAACAGAAGTTGCTGAATACATGTTTCGATCAACTGGATGATTTTCAGAAACGTTTTTCTGAGATTGGTATTTACAGGAATAAGCGAAAACAATGAAATATTTGTAACGAACGGAGCATTGTTAACGAAACACGAATGGGTTACGTTTTTTTTGAGTAGTTGCTTACTGACACAAATTTTTTTATGCAATTTGTAAACATAGGATTAAGTTTTTGTGATTTCCGCTGTAAATTTGTGGCAGAGGTGATGTTGAGATAACCTGTAGAGCTTTCGCAATGGACACGCATTTAGTCGAAATTGAGGGTGTGAGGGTGAGTATAGCTACCGTTCTCATGATTTCTTTTTTTGGTCGTTGTCGATGATCTTTTGGTTATATCTGTATTCATTTATTTATTAACAAAAGAGTGAAAATAGAAAAAGCAGTTTTGTTCACAGAAAGAGCAGCTATTGACGTATTGTTTTACAGTATTGATTAGCGGTGGGTGTGTTTACCAGTTGTGGATTTCTCTTTTGAGGTTGGGATTATTTCTAGTTCCCACTATCAGACGGGTGTGAATGACTGGAGTTTGACGAAATTGATCGTTCCACAATTGATGTATATCTTGTTTATAGCTTGCAAATCGATTTTCATGAGTATAATGAATGATAAAGTTGTCATTCTGTTAGCGATCATGATATGCTCGCTTCTATTCTTTTTCGTTCTTTTTCTTTCAAAACAATGTTATTTACAATAACATTCTTTTTAAGTCTGTTTTGTTCTGTTTAGTGATCCATGTGAGACTATGGATTAATTATCTGTTCTGTTTTTTCGAATAAATATCGGTTAAGCTAAGAATCTCTCACATTTCTGAGCCAAAGATTATCGTCTTATTACAGAGAGCTCACAGCTCCTTCTGTTCTGATTTGATTGTGATCGACGTTTAGTGAAGTGAATGTCTGAATAGAAGAGTTTTCACGAAGAATGAGAGTGACGGACAGAGTTATGAAAGATTACCGTATTGACACGCAGAGCATTAGCCAGGTGCTGTGCTCCTTCTGCTCCGATTTGATTAGGTCACATTCTCACCACCTTATAATGAAGTTAATTTTGAACATTTCAGAGATAATCGTCGTCCAAATGTTATTGTTTTAGGATATAAACCAAAACCTATTCCTTTTGTAACTGTCTAAGGTTTAATAATGATAATATTTTTTCATTGAGAGAAAGTTTGTAACGAGAATCAATAATGAATTTTACATTCGAATAAAAGAAAGAAGAAATCAAAGAGAAAGAAAGGATTTCTGTCGAATTTTTTGACGTTCTTATACATCCAGGTAATGGTGAAATAATTCAATTCGACTAATAATTAATTGTTTATGTTCTTTATAAGTTTGATTCTTTTGTATTAATGATTGTTGTCGAACAGATCCGAATACAATAAATAAAGTTGAGAATAAATTAGCTATGAATGGAATAAGAAGACGAAAATATAAAATAATTATATTATAAGTTTGAATAGAAAATGAAGAATAACGAATAACACACCAGACATGGTAATTTATTATATTTTTATAGATTGTATCAGTTGATGTTCTATTGCTCTTTGATTCTAGTTATTACTTTCTTTAGAAAACTTTCAGTTTCATATTCGTGCATGTCTCGATGTAAAGGTTCACGAATAAGACTTACCCTAATACAAAATGGTAGAATAAAAATAATCCATCGAGCAATCATTTTGTTCTTATTTTTTGTTAAATTTAATACCTTTGACAACTTGCATTGCTCGTCGAATAGTCACGCAAGCACTTGAGATATTATTACAATACAGAAAAAGCTTTAAAATTGGTTCAATAATGATACAGCCAACACGAAGAATAGCAACCAAAAATTGATGAGAAACATATAGGATATCTTATGGACCGATTCGCATGAGAATGGGTTCCAACTCTGATCATACTGGTTCCAAGTAAAACTCGACGAGCTCTATCGATTCCAGTCATAACTTACCCTCCACATCTTTCCCTAACTCTCAAAATAATATTCGTTTTTATTTATTTACTTTCTAACACAAAATCACCGTTTTCTTTCTCATGTGATTCAACCGTATCCAAGTTTATGAAAATTCATTCAGTGTCTTAATCCTTTAGCCCCCAATGTCCATTTGATACTGTTACCTAACGTTATGTCATATTAAAAAATAGTTTCCTTCTACTGTAAACTGACGCAAAAAGCTAACCCTTGGTATACAAAAAAACGTAATAAATTGTGATTAAGCAAAAAAATTCTAAGTTTCCAGTGGATCTGTCACAACTAGCTTTGAGGAGTGAAGGGTTACACAAGAAGAAAGTGTGATATCACATAGAATGGTACAAACAGGTTCAGGATCTACTTCAGCTAAATCGACAAAATCAACACGTGTACCAGCACGTAAAACTAAACAAATTCGAAAGTTCTAACATTGGCTTGAAATACTAATGTCACTTGGTTATCTAGTTGGTGAGCCGTGTATGTCGTAGACGAAGGGGAAAAAAAGAAAAAGAAAAAGAATGTTCCAAGATCAAATTCATCACCGGACCATGATCGAATATCTAATACTCCATTTTAATCTGCTCTTGTTTCTTCTCTGATCTGGCATGTATACAATTTTATTTGCTCTTGTTCTTCCATCACTTATAGCACCATATTATTAAAACTTTCTTTTCTATTCTAGCATCTTAGGACAAAAAAGATACGTTCTATGGGAATATCCCCTGTGACGCATGCCATAGTAAATTTGAATATAATAGTGTGCTAGTATTGTACATATATTAGCATTCGTTCATGTTAAATTGAATCTTGAGGGTCTGAGTGTGGATAGAGGGAACTAAGTAGTATTCTCACTCACACCCTCGTAAATAACTAACCTTCAGTTAAAATAAACTGGTATACAGTTAAGTTACTTTAGTCTTCATAGTGCAGTTTATTATCGAAATGAAATCATTGGAGTTACTTTTACAATTAAAAAAATCATTCTTTTCATGCATCATACGTAGAGAGAGAGGAAAAGACTCACTACTGTCACGATAAGACCATCAAATCCACGCAGTGGTTGTGCACCATTGTAATAAGGCGTAGTTGAGGATTTCACTGGTGTCGATTGAGTGGACGGTCCGCGAGTAGTTGATTGGGTGGACGGTGCACGAGTAGTTGATTGAGTGGACGGTTCGCGAGTAGTTGATTGAGTTGGCACAGGTGTCGATGCGGGAGTAGTTGCTTGAGTTGACCCAGGTGTCGATGCGGGAGTAGTTGCTTGAGTGGGCGCAGGTGTCGGTGCATTCTGTTTGATCCAGTCAAGATAGGCAGCAACTCGTGTGTAGACACCAGAGTACGATGCTTCTGCACATCCTTGTCCAAAGCTTGTGACACCAACTAATTCCCAAACTTTTGTATCTGGGCGAAACATTAGCAGTGGTCCACCACTATCACCTTGACATGTATCTATGAAATTAAAAGAAGAAGAATTACGAATTCGTAGTGAAATTTTGTGCTAATGGAAGCTTGCAGAATGTAACTTACCTTTGCCCGGAGCAGTAGCACACATTTGTATCTGTGGATTATTGTCTTGTGCTGGTATCGGAAAATCTGCTGGATAGCGACATTTCGAATCGTCTTTATCAATTGCCTGTAGTGTCACTTGTTGAAGAGTGTCGGATGTTATATGACTACCTTCACGTTTAACACCCCATCCAATTGCAATCAAATTCGTGTTCGGCAATGGATATTCTGGATTTGCTAAATCACTTGGTGGTGTAGAGTTGAGAAACGGAAGGCATACTTTTGAAATGAATGCGTTTCGATTGAAATCAATGGCTCGACTTAGTGTTAGTACTGCTATATCATAACCTGCTGCAGCATCATGAGTATTGTATTTGGGATGAATTGTGGCGCTTTCCAAACTATAGCTTTCTGCATGTGGACCGGGATCTGAGATATCAATAAGACCAAGACGAACTTCAATATCATAAATACTGAATCCATATTCACCCAAGTCAGCAATACAGTGTGCAGCAGTTAGGATATGTTGTTCATCAATTACTGTGCCACCACAAAAATTTGGATTCTCTGAATTCAATTTTAGAGAGGCAGCCCAGCCCCAAGTACCAGCTGCTGCTGCTTCACCATTGACGATACGTGCGTTCACAGTTGTTGTATCATATTTTGAACAGCCACATCCTTGGTTTCTATCACATACGTACGTTGTTGCATTGAGGTAGGTGATCGTAGCAGCAAAAGCAACAATGACAAAGATGCTTGAAGAAAACATGACTTTTACTTCTTTTTCTTATTCTTCTAGTGTGTATCGAAAAACAACTTTAACTCAGTTTAAATAAGAACTCCACTTCCTATTTTTTGTTGTAAGAATAAGAGATAAAAACTTAAGTGTATCATTAAATAAAAGAACATTCTTCACACAGATAAATTGAGAAAGAATTTTCCGTGAAAAAATAAAGATATCTCTCAAGGTCGATGATGCAAAAATGTTTTTCATGAGAATAAACTATTTGAGTCATAGTGTCTCTTTCTCTCTCTTTCAACAAAATGTAAAACTTGCAGCCTTCTGCAAGTGATTCAGCCATCTTGTTAGTCACAAAATATTTAGAAGCAGTGGCGTAATCAGTATATTTTGAGTATTGGGCCAGTCCCCAGCAAAATTATTTTGAAACGTGGGCCGTAACCGAAGATTGTCAAATTTTCTTCTTTCCTTCCAAATATATGGCTTTGAGCGATAAGAGCATTTTTCTTTATTTGGATGTCGCTCTATTCTTTGATTATATTTCAACAGCAGTCAGCGGGAAAATAAATTCATTTAAGTTTCACAATATGCAAGTATATCAATTTTTAACTATTGGGTAACTGCGCAATGCCTACCACCAGGATACGCCACCATCTTGAGGGTGAGGGTGAGGGTGAGGGTGAGACAGTAGAAACCGTGGAAGAAGCTAGTTTTATGGGAAAATCTAGTGTTTTTCTTTCATATAGAAAATGTAAGTTTTTCAACGTTTTTTGTGTAGAATTGCTCGAAATTTCCTAAGTTCCAAATTACATAGTTTACAGAGTCCTTACTATTTAGTACCACTAAATCGAGTTTTTCACGAGCTTGTATTTGGTATAAATTTATCATACACCCTTACCCTGAAATTACACTATTTTTCATGGGGTATCAATCTAGTTGCACATCTCTATAGATATAATGCGTTACAGTGTTTTCCCGGAAAGTCAAAAAAACATTTTCCGAAATTTCTTGATGGTCCAAGCGATTATTCTAAAGTCAATACACAAAATTTTCATTGAGAGTGCCACGAGAAGTGATGAAGAGTTTATCGCGCTGAGGGTGTTTCGAAGCATGTTGAGAAGTTTATCTCAGTTTTAGGAAGACTGCAACAACGGGTACAATGGATATATACTACCTTATACTTCATCCATATAGTGATTATGTCCAATATGGATTTTATTTCTAGTTTCCGTAATTGTCGTCTATAGCCAGTGGAAAATTTGATTTCTCGGAAAACGCTGTAACGCATCAAATCAGGCTTTGAGAAATTGTCTTGAATGATATCTGTTGGATTGAGACAATTATCATTTCATACTAAAATTTGTTTCTTGTCTTTAAGAAGAACATTGGTTGTATTATTTGTAATAATAAAAATATCTGTGGGTTTATCATCAAAAATGGATTGATTAGCGAAAGTGGTTGCATTTCAATTCCATTTTACATCTGAAGACAAATTTAGTTGATTAATTGAAAGAACTGAAATAGAAATTTATCTTTTTTTCAAACTCTTTTTTATTATTTTTTGTAAATTAACAAAAGAAATGATAATCAATTTAATTATGTTTTTTCCGACTTTTATTAATTATGCGAAAGTTAATATTTTTTTCTTTACAAATTTGTTACCAAGTTTTGACAACAAATGAATAGAAAACAAAGTCAAATAAAAGAATTTCTTCTACGAAAGAATAAATAATTTTTCAATTAACTTATACCTAATAGTACTATAGTCATTGTTGATTTAATAGTATTCATTGTAATTGAAGAATCTATAATTGATGTTGATGATTTTTCTGTTTCATTTGTTGTAGAATCAGTCGGTAACAGAGATGAGCACAGGACAACTTTTTCCGTCCTGTCCTGTCCTGCCGCACCGACTGTGTTCGTCCTGTGCGGCGGCAGGGCAGGACAAAAACTGAAACTACGTCCTGTCCTGCCGCGCAGGACAGGACAGGATTTTAAGCAGGACGAACATAGTAATATTTGTTACATTTTAATCTGTAATATATACATGATAGTTTTCAAAAAATTGACTATCTTTTCAGCTGTTGTAGCTGGATTTTTGTACTATGTAGCTAATTATATAAATATCAAAACAACAGAATAATTTACTGCAAGAAGAACACTCATATTTTAGGAAAAAGATACGAAAACAACGGCAGAAAAATTGCTTTTATACTGATATAGTGACTGAAACCGAAAAAATCTGCCGGCTATAAATGAACTAGAGTATAGAACGAGAAAAAAACAGATGCGTGCACAAGAAATAAATAAAAATCTCAATGAATAACGAGTTCTTAATGATAGTATTTTTTTATGATTCTTTCCCACACGGATATCCTGATGAGCGTTGTTAGAACTCTTATCTTATTACAAGGCATGTGCAAATACAGTCGGACTGTATACTACGCATCCAGCTTGATTAGCACTAAATACATCCTCCAAAGCTCCCTAGTCTTTGGAAATTTTGTTTCTTTTGTTCGTCATTTCATAAACAGTTTTGGATGATTTTAGAAATATTCTTGAAGTTTTTAAAAAACGTAAACATTTTTACAGAGTTCTAGAAATATCTAGAAGATTTGATAAATATAAAAAGTCTTTGAAAAAGTCCTAAAGTGTTTGAATATTTTTGGAGCTTTCATAAATTTTTATAAAAGTAATCCTTGCGCTCACTCTTTTGAATTTCAGGATATATGCTTCTCAAACACTCAAAATACAATCATTATGCCATTTGCATAACGATGCCTTCAGTAATTCACAAATAGTATGAATATTACATTAAGGCGCCGGGACCGGCGAGCCGCGCCCCCGCGGCCCCCGGAGCGGCCCGGCCAGGCGGAGGGCGGCGGAGAGCCA